CCCACCACCCGCACGCGCGCGCGTACGCACACCAGATAGAACTCTGACACAACAAACAAAACTATTAACACTACAATTAATTTTAACCTCAAATTTTTAAAAGAATCCTTAAGGTTTTATCCCTAAGTTTAAACTTTGTCAGAAAATGTTTACTCATACTCACCTCACTAATAACTTGTTCCGGGTCTCCTTTATCAGGTAATTTATGTGAATTATTTGTAGTTGTTTCGATACCATTGGATGTGATCGACACAAATGTGGTGTCGTTTGTTGTGGACTGTTCTTTGTCTGAAATGTACAATTATGTACAATTACAATTGTTTTTTTTTAAATAATCATTGCTTTCTTGTTTGTATAAAGGTATGTTTATGTGAAACTGACCGTCTGATTGTTCGTCTGTCTGCGTGTCGCTGTCGGTGCTCAGCAATCTGTGTAACGTTCGCGGAGTCCACCTGAAGAAAGCAGGAAGTTAATTTTGTAAATAATTAGTGAGACCATTGAATATAAAAATTATTATTAAAAGCTGTGTTTTTATTTCTGTTAGACTTTTCCTGTTGGGTAATTAAAATACACGTACGACTATGTTAAATGACCCTAGGGCCTAGGTAATTATTAATTTGTCTGCTTACGCAAATATTTACTAAAGATGATAACATTTTCTAAAAGACACAAATTAAAAAGACCTTGGTGTAGCACCTTATTAGGTTCCTAATGCAAAACTTTAATTCGAACTCGTTTAACGTCGAAAAAGGTAATGTGTACCTGCCAATTAGATTTTTTATGCTATAACTAGTGACCTCACTATATCTCCTATAAGGATGTGTAACATATTTGACTCGTTTTTTATAGCCAGGAAATGATATGAATTCTCAACTCCATTTGAATGCTCAATGACGCAATTCGATTGTCTTTTGATTGTTTAAAAATAACATGCCGTGTTAAAACTTTACGACAATCATATTTGTAGGTACCTAACATCAAATTCCATTGTCAATTTTTCAACAAACATATTTAAGTGTGTTTGGTTATTATTTAAGTATCCCTTTCGAGTGAAATTAATTGACTTTTTTTGTTTGCGTCTGAATATGATTGGTAGTTATGTTTGTTACTTTGTTAATTTCGTTGCTTACAATTGAATTATACTGACATATGTAACAATGGGTTCATATTTATAATGCATAGACTGGTATGGTGTAGGGAATGTTAGTAGGTTAGTTGTGTTGTGGAGCGGAAAGTGAAAACATGTTGTTTACCGTGCGAGCGTCCGGTGCACGCGCACACGCTCCCCCGCCCCCGCGCCCGCGCCCTCCTCCGCACTCACCGCGCGGCGCACCTCGCGACGCCATCTGAAATCAAACACTCTTTTAATTGTAAATTCTCCACTGAGGACATCCTCCGAATACATTTGGTATTAAAAACCTAGAAAGTAACCCTGTGTGGGGTAGATAATGTAAACAGAAGAACTTTGTGAATAATTATATTTACACAGATTACATTTCCATATACCTACTCGGAACACTCTATTCTATTACCAATATAAAAACATATTTACAAATCAAGTTTCGCTAAATAGAAATGCTAATGTAAATCATATGACAAATAATTATACAGAATTATGCAAACATAATAATGAGAAAAATAGTATATGCGCTTGTAGGATTGCAGCAAGTCTTTCTTTAGGTCAGGTATTCTTTAAGTAAAAAGATTTCAATAATAATCATGTTTTTCATAATACTATATACTTAAGGTACTTAACTTAAATGTGATGTGACAAATTTTTTATTCAGAATTGGACCTTATTTTTTCAGACGGATGGACCCAGACAGCTGAACATTCCGTGAGTTGTATCATTAATGCTAGTAATCCTTTTGGAAATTTTGATCATTGTTTGGTCAGTCAGTTCTATGGGAGTGAATTAGATCATACTACATTTTCGTAGATTATAGTAGAGATAATGATGCAAGAGGAATATCAACATACTTGTATAGGTGCATAGAAGGCGGTGGCGAGGAGAGCTGGCGGGAGAGTGAGGAACGAGGGCGCTTGTCGCGACGCCAGCTGCCGCCCGCGCGCGTCGGCACCTCCGCCAGCAGGTGCGCGCCTGTCGCCTCGCTGATACCGACCTACATACACATCAAGTTATGTATTTTTACTGAAGCGCCAAAGAAATTTATAGAGCAATTTTTAAAGAGAAAAAACTGGAATTTGCTCACTCGTCCAGCTGAGGAAATTATATTTCTTCAGTTAGAATTAATATAAAGAAATTGAAACACCTAGGTCTAAAAGCAGTAGTGTGTTCTTTTAGATTCGATATTGTTGTAGGCACCTAGCTGTTTTAGTAATTATTAATTTAGACGAAAGGCGTCAGAATCGATTTTACGGCCCCTAATAAAATATTAACGCTTTCGCCTGACCTCTGTACAACCTTGCTTTCGTCATGTTAGTTAAAAAGTGAAAGCGAAGTTTCGAAAATAACTACTAACTATTAATTTAGATAATGTTTATTTTTATTCTCAGCTGTGTGTTTTTAATTTTTATTAGCATAATCTTCATTTTTTACAAAAATAAACATCTACTTATACATGACGCACTATGGAAATAGCGTGATTTTAGATTTTTTTATATAGAAAATTTATACATATAGGTATTAAAGTCGTATGCCCTCTTACTAAGTTATGTGACTATTACGAATTGATGGCTTTTAAGTATTTGTACAAGTGTACAAGTTATCGCATTCTACCAGTACATATACTTACCATATTAAATAAGTTTATTTTAAGGATATTGCAACATTAATCATTTATTTTATCCTATTCTGATCAATGTTTTCAATCTAGAACTTACCGTATCCTCGTCTATATCGTGTCTATTGAAGTTGTTCCTACTGAGTACACGTTGCAATCGCGCACGCTCGCGGGCGGAGCCCCCTGGCGGGCCGGCGCCGGTGCGCGCCACGGCCGCGCGCGCCTCGGCCGCCCGCCGCGCCCAACGCCGCAGCGTGCCCTCCCCTGCCGCACCACACGGGCCCGCTCCCGAGCCCGGTCGACCCACGTCTCTCACACGACCCTCTTCCATTGCTATAACCTGCCCATAACATGTCACCCTTAATGTAAACTGACTTGTAAATTAATTGGTTGACAATGCCTTAATCTAAATTACTTATGTATCTCCGAGCAGAAATACAATTCCAACGAATAATTTCTTCCATTTCTCATAAACACAAGGTTTTCACGGTAGGTAGTATCAATATGTCACTACTAACCAGATCAGCATAGTGCAGCAACTCGAGTCTGTTAGTGGCGAGGAGCACGGTGGCGCCGGCGCGTGCCGCGGGTAGCAGGCCACGCGCTACCACATGTCGAGCCAGCGCGGCGTCCAGCGCAGCCAGCGGCTCATCTAGCGCCAGCAGCCGCGCGCCGCTGTACAAAGCGCGCGCCACGCACACGCGCACGCGCTGCCCGCCCGACAGCGGCGTCCCCCCGCGACCCAGTTGCGTCCGGTCACCATCTAAGCAAATGTAGTTATAGTTTTTTTATCTATGTACGAGAACAGTCGCACTTATGTTAAAGACGCTAGAATTTGTTTCTCATAAACCGCCATGTTTGGTTTCCTATAAGCGTACGATTTTTACCTGGTAGCAGTTGTAGATCTGGTCGAAGGGCTGCGGCGCGGAGTGCACGCGAGTACTCTGCGGGATTCCAGCGACGACCCAGTAGGATGTTTTCGCGGATGGAGCCCTCCAATAGCCACGGTGGCTGACCGGCGTAGCTAGCGCTGTACTCGCTTTTCAACAACAATAATATTAGGTGTACTAATGGATTTATCAATCCTTTAAGGCTCGTTGCAGCTAGATTTCAGTTAACCACTAGTGTGTAATCAGTCAATATTTCACCAAGTAAAGATGTAATAGTTAAAATGTAAGTGCATTGAACAGGGTACAGTGAAAGTACAGAATCGATGTCTCATAGCGATACATTGCATTAACAATTCTATAGACACGGTAATATGTATTCTATACCTTAGACGATTAGTTACATTATGTGGCACAACCAGAAAGTATGTAACTTACCCGTTCCAACTAATTTCTCCTCTTTCGAGATGCATTTCACCCAGCACGGCAGACAGGAATGACGTCTTGCCAGATCCAGTTGATCCAACAACCATTATGAGTTTTCCTAAAAATATAAACAAGCTAATTAACTGATGAAGAAATGTACATTAATGACGTGAATGTTACGTACTTGCTTACCAACTGGGATATCTAAATCCTCAATATCGAGCCAAGAGTTATCTCTCATCTTCCAAGAAAATGCCGCATTTTTAAATCTTATAAGGTATTCTTGATCGTTGCAAGTAGTTTTATCTTCGAAGAATTGATCTTCACATTCCACATCGATATCTTTATTGACATCATCTTGGTCTGTATAAATGTTACAGTTAGGAGCCGAGGCCGCAGCATTATTAACAAGCACATCATTTTCTTTGGTATCAATTTTATCTTGTCCGTAGTTATCTTCTTTAACGTTACTTGATTCAGGAAGTTCCAAAAAGTCCTTGATTCTATTCGTACTTACCTGAAATTATATCTCTAAATATCTATTTGTAAAAAGTAGGTATTATTAAAGCTTTTCATAAATTTGCCATACCATAGCCTGAATAACCATTAGCACCGTGACTGGCAGAATGAGAAGTGGTATTGCCAATTGATTGAATAGCGCCAGTCCGGCTAATACGTTCACCACTGTTAAACCTTCACCATTGTCTATAAAGTATAGCAGTGTATACGTAACAACTGTTATGAGGATTGACGATGCTTGCGTCGTAAAAGCTGGAAACAAACATTTTATATTACCGAGTTTGACTATAGCCAATCTCAGTTAGATAAATGTTCTCGTACATACTTACTCAAAATTCCCCAATATGCGGAATCCTTATTTAACATTCTCAACTCCACCTCTCTTAATTGCAAAATTTTCTCGTTAAACAAATCTTCCCAAACATAAAGTTTTATAACGTTCATGCCTTGTAAGATTTCTGACATTTTGGACACTCTGTGATCTGTACATTTTGAAATATCCTTGGAATTGTCCGAGAGCCTTTTACCGATGTAAAATTGCAAAGGAGTTATAATAATGACACTAACAGCGGTGCCTATTATTGCACTGATACCAAGTTTTGTATAAAGTAAATACAAAATTACAGCTACCTGAAAGTAAAATCGAATAAAACACAAATTGAAACGTGATTTACGTAACAAAGTTAAACTAGTGTGTACCTTTAAAGGTATAGCCCAGATGTAATGACACACCCAGACACATGACATGACATTATACGTGTCCTGCGTAATCAGGTTGGTGATGAGACCTGACTGCGAAGGCGCCGAGTCCTCAGTGTTCTGTAGGAGGGGAGACTCCTCGTCTATATCAGTTTCTGTCGAGGACCATGACGCTAATCGCATGCATTTGTCATACACCATACACTATTTGGAAAAAGAAACTAAATAAAATGTTTAACCTCCACATCGTAGAATAAAAATCATTAGTGCTGAGTTTAATTCTTTTAAATTATTGTTTGCGAATTAAAAACATTTTAAGCAAAAAATTCGAGATCATTCGTTTCATCTTAAATCTTATAAAAGTAATTGGAATACGCTTTATCAGTGTTTACTTGAAAATTACATCACACGTTTAATTCAGAGGCGACAAGTATTCAAAGCAGGTCAATCGTTAAACAATCTCATCCAAGGTTCATGATTACCAAATACAGAAGCGGTTAAACGAATTTAATTAATTTTAGTTATCTTAGTTTTTAAAGGGTTTCAGTGTACTTGCTTGTAACGCCGTCTTCAATCTTGTTCCTTCGACAGTCACTAAATGTGTAGAGTTCTGCGAAAGTATTCCTTGTGTCACTAACGCCATTGTCACAAGGAAGAGCATAATGTATGGATTTTTTACGAACTCGTGTATAGTAACTTCTGATTCCGTCTCAAAAACTATATTAGAATCTTCGATATACTTGACAATAACAGCCAGTCCCAACGGCGGAATGAGTCCGATCATATCTCCAAATAATTTTAATACTCCAGCGATATAAAAATTAGGCCATATTGTTTTAAGATAGACCCGCCATATGCTACCACTTTCATCATTTAATTTTGTCATCTAGAATAAGCATTAATTTCAGTGAAAATTTTTAATTACAATTGTATGATTGCATACGCAAGGGATATACAAACCTGTTTTTGTTTTTCGTAAATTCTTATAAATCGTGCATAAATGGTCGAGGATTTTTCATCATCTGGCAGCTCTCCAAAATCGTCTTCATCAAGTGTTGCATCACAATATCCCTTGTATAGGAAGGGATTTAACCAAAAAAATGTTATCTTGGAGAAAAAGTGAGTTTCGCTGTGCTTGTAGGAGACGTTGTCTTTGGTAAATGATTCCCGTGGTCCGTTGTTACGTTTTGTGACCTGCAAAGTTTAATATTATAATACATTGATATAGCGTTGTTGAGTAGAATGGTATGGCGTCGGACACTGAACACAGGATGGCGGCGCCAGACGCAAGGAATGTTTTCAGACGTAGCCGGCGTCTGTATGAAACTACAGCGGTAGGGTTGGTCCTGCCTTTGATAGCGTTTAGAGAAAAGAATCTTGAGAAAACAAAAAACCTATTTTTGTTCGTCGATGTTTTTTTTTGTATTGATATTTGTAAGCTTGATATAGTGGAGAGTGTTTTAACCCCAAAAGTAACGCCGAAATTTTAATGTAAAAAATTGTATATTTTTCTTCTAAGGTCTACTTTTACCGTGATAAAAGCAATGTATTGTAATTTAATTGTTAATATGAATTATTAATAAAATATACTATTACAAAATTAATAGTCGCCTTGATATACTTTTTGTGATTGCTAAGGAATTAGTATTAGAAATTATTAAATTTGAATTTCATTTATTATTGATTCGATACCAGTCTCCTAAATATGTTTTAGTTTAATGTCAGTATTCAAGTAACGAAGATTGATGATATTATCTTGTGAACGAACACATGTGCACCCCTTGTGGTGTTATGAGTCATAACCGTCGTACGAATAAACTTTGTCGGAAATAATGAACCGTTCGATATTAAATTATACGCGAAGCAAATCTAAGTATCACATGGTATTCATACTTTAATTTACTAGAATGTATTACGGAATTATACCTCCTGTGAAATAAATTATATAAATCTTCCTAAGGATTGTTAGTCTATGAGTGGGATAAGTTAAGTTTCATTGGCATTGGGCCATTTCAACTTACTAGAGGTCAACAGCCTTGCCTTACCGGATGTTTTATGAAAGAAATAAGCCAATGTCGTTTATTTTACTTGAATGATCGCCATAATAAGCGTTAATTAAGGAAAGTGCGAATAACTTGCGTATCTCTTATCTGGAAGATTTTTTTCGTGTTTATTTTTTATAATTTGAATGCGATACAAACTTGTTCTTCTCATTTGTTTGGTTTGCTAATATATTGATAACATGTTAAAATTATGATGAGCACTTTGTATTCGCGGCGTCTGTAGTTTTCAATACAATTGCCGATTAGACAAAGAGCATTGTTTGCGTGGTTCCGATTCATCGACTATTTATAATGACTGCTATTGTCGGCCCCAAACTGCACGTCTTCTCATAGACGTATGTCTTCTATAATGAATTACTATAGTTTGTTACACTTTAACCGTGTCTATATTGTAAGAACCCGTGACTTATTACGTATTTGTATTGAAATTAAGTAATGTTTCTGATTAGGGAGGTAGTGTCTATCAGTGTTGTCACTCTGCATTTAATGTAGTAGGTACGTACTTAATTTAGAAAACCAGAATACCTATAGTTATATATTAAACATAAACTAAATTCTCTGGAAAATTCACCGCGTCTATTTATGCTCTTACGTAAATACAGATTTTATTTAGAATGTTTATGTTGGCATTAATATTTGTCACACGGTTTAATTTGGGTTGATAGCCTTGGTGGAATGCGAGAAAAAATTGTAATGGCGTCGACAACATGAGCATACGGCTTGTTAACTGCTTCCTCTGATAGTATCGCTGTTAATAAACACATGTTGAAGTACTTATCGTTTTAATACGTTAGACTTTTCCATAAAAGAATCAGAAAAACTTATGATCATATTTAACTATTGTTCCTTTATTCAAATTCTCGGCTCAATGATCAAATTTTGGTTTCTCCCAGACTTGCGTTGAATCATACCGGAAAGAATAACTTTGCTGCGCGTGAGATCATTTCTTTTTTACTTTAAGGATTTGACTCCTTACGAATATGAGATTAAAAATAAAATAAAAAACCATCTTCCGCAGTAGTAGCGTTATCGAATTTTTTTTATATTCGTATATTATTAATTTTGCCATATAAAAGAAATAAATACTATGAATATTTATCGCTTTTATAAAATTTAAATATTCGAAATACGTATTTTTGCATACATTTTCAGTTAATTCTTCAATTAATTAGTACATAGGACGAGTAGCTTGTTTAAACTACAGAGTTGTGGAAAGTGTAAACTATGTCGTACGTGTCTTTTGGTTATTCTCAATTCTTGGCCTTCAGAAAAAAATAGATATCAATAACTGTAGCACTTTGCGTAATGATTACGTAAATGAACGCATTGTTGTAACTACTTCCTCCTTTTGTACAGTCGAATAATAAAGAACCAAAAGGAAAAGCATAGTTTTATTCAAAAATAATGTTTTCACAAATATAATACTTCAGTATTTTACAAAGTTATAAAAAATCTGTATTATGTATTGCTTTTACTTAATTTATTTTGTAGTCTAGCAGTTCTTCCAGTTTTCAAGTATCAAATATAAGATTTTGATCTAACGTTGGATTCGCTTGTTGTAATAACGGAATAGTGTCTTTTGGCCTCCAGTTGTATTCATAAATCAATCCTATTCTACATACGTCATTCCTAATTAACCTTCCTCTGCGATTGATATCATTCAAATGAGCTCAATGCAAACGATTCTATTTCGATAATATTGGATCATATCTTCGAGTTGTTTGCAACTTACCCATCTTACAAATCTCACCAATACTATAAATGCGAGTTTTAATGCATGAAGGGTTGTTTGTTAGAATTTGTAGCCTAAGCAGCTGATCGGATCTCGATAAAATTTGGCGTAGATGTAGAGGGTAGTCTATAAAAGAACCCATAGGTTACTCACTTTTTCTCCGCGGACGGATTCGCGGGCGAAAGTTATTATTAATATAAATTTATTTCAATTTAGTTTTGGCTTAAACTAACAAAAAAAATCATAGATAAATTACTTTAAGCAGTGTAAAACTTACCTCATCATAGAAGCAAAGGCAGTCCACCGTCGATATCACTAATGCTAGTACAATAGTGCATCCTTGCACGTAGAGCTGGACCTGAGTGTAGGAGGGTCCGGCGAGGAATTGATGCCAGAGCACAGAGGCGGCGGCGACTGAGGCCAGCAGC